CGAATTAGTGCGGGATGCCCTCTCGTGGCGTGTCTCGCCGTCATTTCTAGGTCGAAGTCGGCGCTAAAGTGTCACGCCATCCGGCACTTTAGGGGGGCGGCAGACCAACGCCAGGCCGGCAAAACCGCAAGTTCCGTGTCCCGGATCCAATATCCTGGGTGTGGTCCCCCGGAGGCTGACTGGTAAATAGTGAACTATCCGGCTACGATTTCGCACCATCTGCGTGACAGGGCGCAGTAAGCAACGATGACAAACTATTACAGGGTGATCACGCAGCATCTCGGCACGGGGCAGCATGGGGGATGGGCCCCTTCTCGACTAAGTTGGCCGAGGGAGGGATGAAAAAAAATCAATGATTGCCAACCAATAATTCATCTCCCCCGTTTAATCTTGTGGCTAGTTGAAAACGGGATAAAAATAGCCGTTTCCATGGTAACAAATCTTCCCGGCGCAACTATTTACAGCCTCACTGTCTGGCTGTTTACCTATCCCTGTGCCTCCCAGCTGTCCCGCACACGAGACAAGAAGCATCAGTTGCCTTGGCAACGACACTCCTCTTCTGGCCATTGTTTGTTGTCTCTCCGGGTATCCAGCTTGTTTACCTAGGCACCACCTCCTGGACGTCTTGGTTTCCATGGCAACCGCCAGCCTCTGCTCGAGTCTCAGGACGTCCCGTGCAAGTAACTGTTTTCCGCCTTCGTCTTTTTACTGCTTTCTCCCCTTCCTTTCCCCTGTTTTCCCCTTAATGGTAGAGAGACGTTTTCGGCAGGAATGACTGATCCTGACCAATAAATGTCACCCACACTTTCCCTTCAATACATCGTTTGCAGGCAGGAGAAAACCCGATCGATTATATTGCAGTCGTATTTTCCGGACCGTCAGATGCAGTGGGACCAAACCTCCCTGCCATGAGATAATAGCCGCCCGGTGCACCCTAGTGTGAAACCAAATTTGTTGCCTTTTTTCGCCGTCCGTGGCGGCGCTCTGTACCGGCCCAGGTGACACCACAACCAACACGCTTTCGCTCCACCCCTGAAAAGCGTGCGGGTGTGTGGCAGCGCCGTCCGAGGGCGAAGACGACAGTACAGGAGAAGACCCTTAAACGCACACGGGGGAAGGTGGGCCGATCTCGACACGACCCCCATCGATAGAGGAGGAGAGAGTCGGACCTAGGTTACAAGGACCCCGAGCCCTCGTGCTCCACTGGGCTCGCCAAGAATGATGGATGCGGGCGGCAGCCAAGGGTGGCAAGCAAGGCGCACGGGCCTGCCAAGCACGACAAATTGGAGACTCCAGCGTTATTTCGGCTTCATTACCAAATATCTATTCAGTCAGCCGTGACATTAAATTTATTAAACTCGTCGGCTGCTGGCAGAAACGGTCTAGGCGTGAAATTAAGTAGTTTGCATAATGAGCACGCCCAGGTCAGGTGTGCTGCGAGGGGCTGCGGAATACAAACTGGCTGATTGTTACCACCAGGTACGACGGCTTCTGATTGGGACGCCACCGCGAATCTTAATGTCTCTTTAGCCAAACACGTCACACGCAACGCAAACGGCTCGCAGCCATTTCGCGTCCGACTCTACTTAACTGCCACTTGGACACTCAATTAACGAATCATTGGACGGGCGCGCTAATTCCCGCTTCGGCCACACTCGTTAAGGGGCCTTCTCCACCCATGCCGCCCGGGCCTCCCAGCACCAATTAGTTACCGTGCGCGACTCCTGGGGGCGCCACCGCCTTTCGGAGAGAGGGAAAGTTGCCTTCGAGAAACATTTCTTCAACGACAGCCCCCGTTCATTCTCGATCGGCAAGAAAAAGTTTCGCTCGCTACCAACTAAATCTTTAAAAACAAAGTTTACAAGTAATCGGAATCCGGAAGTTACAAAGCCAGTGAGTGACGTAACCGCGTGAAGGTAGAGAAAAGTTAGGTTCGTACGAGCGAGAGCATTAAAATATCGAAAGGGAGAACATAACAATGAATTGCAGAGGGTTGGACGGGGCCGCAGGATTGTTTTCCGAGCCAACAGGTGCGTCGAACCACCTGTCATTCTTCGTCCTGCACTTCCTGCTCTAGCGATAATGCCGCGGTCATCGAAAGGAAACGCATTTCTATTGACGTCACGCTTGTTTTTCTCTATTGTCTCCGGAGAATAAGTTTAGATGTATTTTCTGATCCGACTGTGGATTAATCTTGTTGTTTGCATCTGCTACAAAAATGGCAACTGCGATCTATCGCACAGTTTATTATCTAGAGCTGTAAAACGTAGACATTTTACTTCTTTCCAGTACTATACAAGTAAAATATATATATATATATATTTCTTTTTACGATTTCCACAACATTTTATAAAATATAACGAATAAAACGCTTTAATTTCCAGTAGTCTAATCGAATTATTATAATTAATTTTTCATCCCACATCGAATTTATTACGTAGGTAATGAAATGTTACGGTATCGCTTCCATTTAAAATGGCATCCCTTTTTTTTTGGCATTATAAAGAGGTATTTACAAGAGTCAAGTCATAGGTTCGGTTCGTAAGAATGTCTCGAGAAAAGGCGTGAAAATTACGCGATTTACTTGTTTAAAATGTAAAAATGCATAAGAGTTTGGCACATAGAAGTAACGTTTATCGACAGATTCTCGGAAAATAAATTCTATAAGATGAGGGAATAAAAAAAATGAGAGAAAGAATAATCAAATTTCTACCATCTCGAAACAGAATGTAAATTGATCGCCGTCGTGCAGTTTTTAAAGATGAAAAATTAAATGCAAACCCGAAATCTTCCTTCCAGAACTTATAGTGAAGATTACTCACCTACAACTGTCCCAAACCTTTATTTATTTATTTATTTATTTATTTATTTATTTTTACATATAAGGAATTCTTTCCTCGATTTTTTGTTGACTTGTCGAGTAAATTTGACTCCGTGTATTGCATTATTTGCGAGATGAATTTCAAGAAAAGTGGAAGAATAAAAAAATTATTACAATCCTTATGCAATTTCTTATGGATCGAGTTTAAATTTGTTCTTCGTTATTGATATAAAGTAAGATCTTTTATTGCAATCCCACGGCTCTTATTTCATTCCTTTTTATGAAATTATCATCATAACTCGGCAAGGAAAAGTATTATTAAACTTACGGAGTAGACAATCGTCTCAAATCGGAAGAATAGAGATCGGATATGAAGAGAGAAAAGAAGAAAAAAACATATGAAATTTCGTGATATTTGCTATAAACCTAACTTAATGCCTACATTTATCCGTAGATAAGTCGCTTTATAATCGAGATACTAGATTCTACTTCTCGTATGATTAATTTTAAACGTATTAAAGTTGAAACTGGAGCGGAATTTACGGGAGAAAAAATGTAAATGACAAAAGAAAATAGGGAATTTAATTAGAAGAAAGTACACAAGTTTGCGATAAATTCACTTACCGCAATAAACTTTAAAAAGGGGAGTTAAAACCGGGGTGATTCGAACGGCGAAACGAAGTAAACTGCTCTTTATTACATGAAATTCGAAACAAGCAACTCGACACATTATCGCTTTTCTATCTCTGTGTACGGTTTCCGCCTTCAGAGAAAGAAAGGTAATATTGACAAATCTCAAAATATATATTTTATAACTTAAAAAAAAAACCCTTAATATCAATCTAATGAATCAAATATGTCATTAGGTTTGGAAAATTCCGAGTCAAAACGGGCTTAAAAGGGAGTCCATCGGCCCGACCAATTTATCTGAAGTCAGTTATCGCGTCCGATCTGCAGGACAAAACGATAACATAATCGAAAGTCAATCTATCGATTCGTCCATCAAGCAGTAGAATATTACGATCGACCTCAATATCCTCTACTCTAATAGCTCGCTAATAGTGCAACCATCTCCGTTGTTGATGATTTTACAAATATACCTACGCACAATCGACCTCATTATGACTCCTCCAGTTCTCAGATTAAATTACTTCTTTCTAATGCCAGCTTCCCTCCGAATTGTGAGTGGCCCATCACCTATCGCCTTACCAACTCGACATCTTAGCTTTTTCAACCTTTGTGAACGTCATTGATCCGAAGAAAAGGTCTACTCGATGAAAGTCGCTCGCTTTATTTAATGCGTTCTGCTTTTATCTTTTCATAATTACCTTCCGCTTGGTATGAGTGGATTTCGTTCGGAAATCTCCTACTCCGTGTTAAAAGTCTAATCGAGGGAATGTGATGGTGAATAACTTCTAACTCTGATTAATAGGCAGGGCCCTCCCTCCTATATTAACAAGTAATATAAAAGGGGGAAACCCCATTTGCAAAGGGGGATTTTTATTGTTTTTAAAACACCGGATTCTTACTATAGTGACATAGGACACGTTCGGGAATCGTACTAGACTCTATATTAGTAAAACGATTAATAGAGTGAAACAAGATTTGTGAAACGGGCGATGCTTTAGTAGATGTATATCTTTAAGGAGAGGAGGAGGAGGAGGATAGGAAAAAACTCCTGTTAAGCAAAACCCTAACAATTGTTGCTGTAAAAAGCAGAGAAAACCCGACTGACAAAATCGAGAAGAAACCAGCACTTTCAATTCTGTCGAGTTAACAGATTGTAAAAGGAGCCCATTTAGGATTCTCTCAAACATACCAAAAGCTTTTTATCCATCTGCACAGACCAGAGTTGGTCTACAGTTTTGTAACTTGTGTTGGAGCTAAAAAAATATTATATATATATATATTTAAAAGAAAATAAAAAAGAAAAAAAGAATCTTGACGCCGGTTATGTTACTGAAAACGTAACCGAGAAAATGATATCGGAGCTACGGTAGAAAGAAAAGTGGAGTAGAAATGCGACCTTTCTTTAGGTACGTCTGGACTAAAAATAACATTTTCCGAAGATACCAGAGAGTGTCGAATCTAAATTCCGATTAACTTTAATGTATCACGTGACGGCGGAGATAGAATTTAGGAAAAAAATTAATAATAATAAAAAAAAAAGATTACTTACCTACAGCCAGGGCGCTCGGGCAAAGGGTTCGGGATTCAGGGACTGGGAAGGATCTTTTAGGAGAAATCACCGACCCTGCTTCTCCATATTTTCACTGCCAAAAGAGAAAGGTTATATTTAATATAAAAATAATTTAGAGTCATACGAGTAAAGAGTTCTAAATCATAAAGCGATAATATAATAAATAACGGCCGTGTTATATTTTTAAACGGTGCTGAACAAGCTTGGTTTGCAGACTATCAGCAATAAAGCTATCGTTTCCTAAAAGTGACTAACCTTTAACCCTTATATGGAGGCGAAGAAAAATCTTTACTGTATACTTAACCTATTGTCATCAGGGGACTAATCATTGCATCCATTAGGCGTTTGCAGCAACTGAACATTTTTTTTTTCTTTTTTTACTTTGCGAACCAACCTTAGCCATCGCTCCTTTCCCAGCATTTTATGGAGATTGTAGGGGTGTTAAATTTCGACTGGTGTCAGCTCCTTCCTTTTGATTGTATTTCCCTGAGATGGGGATGCAAAATGTGGCTCGACTATCAGCTCCAAATGGCTGACGTCGCCTCCCTTTCCTTCAGGATCATTGCCGTTTAATTGGACTCAATGAGTTACTGCAATCATTTGGATGTTTGAAACGTTTGTTTTGATTAAGGCGAAATTGGAATTTTTCTTTTTCGGTTTCATCACTCGGAAAGAAAAAGTGCCCTTCTCAAAAATCGTTATAACGCCTTGTTCACTCCGGATGAGGAAAAGTTGTGGCGAGTTTATTTACCGTGAAGGAGGAGGGTTGCCTCTTTCTCCAGTAATAAAGATCGGTAATTATGGCTATTTATAAGTAAGGATGTCCCTAACCATTGATCAAGTGGTCGAGAGTGAGATAGAACTCATTCTCCATCTTGCTGCTTAATGCAATCTTCTCTTCTGACAACGGCTCCAGTTAGAAGTTTGTTTAATGCCTACTTTTCTCGTGAAGGCGAAACTTTCTCGGGCCGTATTGAGAAGATAAAAAAAGCATTTCGAGTTAAACTATAAAATGGGAAAGCTCGAACGTTCTGATGAATTAATGCTATAAGATTTCCGTTGGTGCCCCGAACACGCAAAGAGTTAATAACTTGAAGAAGTCACTTGAATTGAATAGCCGAAAAATGCTAAAAAATCCAAGCTAAAGATGCGGCCATATTAATACTTTAACAAGAATTGCACCTCGCACACATCACCTTCTCCTTTTTTTGTCAGAGGCCACGTGATTTGTCTCCGGTCTAATCCTCAGTCCTTTAAGAGGAAGAAATTCCGACACGAACATAGCGAAGCAACTGACTCGGCGTAAACGGGTCGAAGATCAGAGGCAAAGCCGAAGCCTTTGGAGCGGTCGACGCCTTGTTGTGCTGATTCAGACGGCCACGAGGGGGGACGAGTCGGCCACCGCCCCGGTAATCACAGACATAACGGTGCAATCTGGTCCTCAATACAGCAAAGTGGACACATATTTCCTGCTCTTGTTCAGCTGCAGCCGCAGAGTATTGAATAAATCAGCATTAAATGACGATGAAAATTTAATGCAGCAGCTCGCAACACAGAGGTACCATGTTTATAGGTATGTTTCATGTGGGCACGCCGGCTCCTACTACACACATAAATATTGATTTTTCGGCACGGGAATCTAGCTGCCTGTGCTCCGAATACGACAAAACTCTAATATCCAGTGAAATGATAGCTGTAATCTTTTCTAATTACAGCTAAGTCGCTGCCTTCGTGAACGACCCTAAATGATGCATAAAGCCTTTACGAAAACAACCATTCATTCCGTTTCTGGTTGGAAGGAAAAAAAAAGCAGTTGGCTCTGCCTCTGATTGATGTCTGATCGTGTATAAGGCGGAGAATTTGTCACGAGTCAGACCTCGATCGTTTCCACCCCTTTTGGTTGATCCTCGACAAACTGCTGACCTCTGTCTGGCAGTGACTGATTGACCTTCGAGACTGGAGGTCTCACCTGCTGGTTCGAGAGCAAAGTGCCAAACAACGTTACGCACTTACTCCGTCGATCGGAAACAAAACCTGATATTGTCAACGGCTTGACAGAAGCGGTCACAACGGAATACATCTCTGTCGAGCACGCTGAAGATCGCTAGGAATTTTATTTCGACATCTGTACTTTAAGCACAAATGTATCTAAGTCACAATGTTAAATGTGATGCCTCGAGCAGTTTTTTTGTACTAGAGAACTCGAACCTTATAAATGAATTTTCTCGTACGAAAACTAATTTCTTACGTCTTTATCTTTCCTAAGTACCGACTAATGTATAAATTAATACATTAAATGCCTACGGAGTTATAAGGTAATCGCAGCCATCGTAAAACTAGAAGAAACTCATTTCCGAAAGTTAAGGGAATGAATACGTCAACTCGACTATTCCCGTTGTGTGAAAAGTTCGTATCAGCACGATTTATGTACTAGGCATAAAGACCAGGCAGATACTAACGCTTAACTAGTACGAAATTTAGAATAGCACCTTACTTATCTGGAACGGGATTTAGTTTTTGAGAAAAAAGCGAGACTTTTGTCATTGTTCGGAGTTTAAAAAATCTTAGGCAGACCTGTAATCTATCACGAGAGGTCGTGTAACAAAAAAGCCCACTCGGCTTCCCCTCTGGTTATTTGTCTACCTGGACTTTCTCACAATGTTTGACTTTCCCTCCTAGTTCCTTTCCGGGACCGAATTCTCATACGAGAGGGGACTACCCCGGCACGTGGACCCGTAATGTAAGATGGTGAAGGAGAAGAAAATGCAGAAGTTTTAAATAGCAGCAGGCTTTTTGGATGCAGAGCGAGTCATCTAATTTTGATCGTTCGAAAGCCATAAACTTTGACAATTATGGAAGTTAAAGATAGTTAGAAACATTAAGTTGGCTCCTTTCAATTGATTTCGCCATTTCTGATCGATTTAAGTTATCTACAAAACATCTTAAAGCGACTTTCTTTGCGAACAATCTCATTAATCCGTCGCCATGCCGAAAACCAATGAGAAAAGTTGATTCGGTAATTAACAACCAATCAAAGTAGCGGTTTGAAAATTCAAATTTTAATCTCATACGACGAAAAGAAATAGAATTAATGCGAAGGGAAACTTTTTTCGTTTTTTTAAGATTTTCAACTTTTCGACAAATTTTATCGATCAAACAAACAAATCAATTTAAACTAATTCCTTAAATGTAATTTTTTTTCAATTTTCCTAAATGTTCTTGAATAAATTAATTTTCAAAAATAAATAAAAACTTTTTAAAGTACCCTATAGATATTATTAAGCTATTTTATTAAACAAATTGCGTCGTAACTTAAGAAAACTTTGCCTTCACATCAAACAGCATTTCGGTTCCATCAACTGATCAGAGGATGAATTAATCTGAGTTGAGAGTCGGTGCCTAGAAAGAAGAGAACTAGCAGATGGCTATATTTACTCAGGCTGAGCCATCACCCGACAGAACTAGCATACAAACAATGACCAGATGTATGTTTATTGACTGTTTACTGAGACCTTTAGACCGTTCCACTCTCGTACGTCCGGCGCAGAGATGCTCCTTTTTAAGGGGTTGGGAATAGATACGACCAAGACTGATTCGTGTCACGACAACGCCAGCGTGTCATTGTTGTCGGTAGATTAAATTGTGAACTGTCATATCTATAAGACCGAGGACAGATTGGTGGCGAGGAGGCTTTAAATCGATCTAGAAGTAGCTTAGAGTACGTCAGGTTATGTTTAGAAACTGGCTCATTATCGTAGTCGGAAGGACGAGCCTTGACTTTTGTCGAAATATAAAGCGAGAAACTTTTTAATAAAGATAGAAAGTTTAGTTTCGACTTATTTCTAAGAGATAATAATTAATAAGTAGCGTCGGCAGATGACAGCTAATGACAAACGGACTTACGATACGTAGGCCTGAATGACGGAAGGAAAGGTGCGAACGGACTAAAGGGGTTTAAAAAGTTAAATCTGACGGTTACGATGGCGTATAAAGATAAAGTTAAAATAGTTACTTGATAACAAAGCTCGGTTTTGTTGGTAAAAAGGAGTCGCGGAGTACAAAAGCCTTTAGAACCGGCGCCGAACGACACGGAACTAAAATCACGTGGATGGGAAGCAAGTGACGCAACGGAAGTAAGTTGTTACACACTCGCCCCAATTGCGAGCGGGGAGAGACGGGATGACCTTCTCAATCTCGGCAGAAGACGGGACAGATTGTTAACTTCCTGGCTAGAGCGGCACCCTAGCCCCTAACGCCCCATCCTATCCCCGAGCCCCAGTGGAGCGGAGTAGTGGACAATCCCCCTATTATCCTATCGGCCGCTCGTTAGGCTTAACAAGGAAATGTCTCGTGCATTGACGTCAGGATCGACGCCATGTTCTCCAGTGTCGTGTGACATGGTCTGTTGCCAAGCAATGAACATGTGACAAAACTCACCTGGCCGAAGATCGGATGTTGGCATCGGGACAATCCACAGTTTCCATAGCAGATGCGTCGAGGGCCGCTAGCACGTGTCACTAGCTAAGCAAGTCGTGCTCAACCCGATGCCAGGTGGTGATGCGACTGGAGGGGTGTTTTTTTCCAGTCTTTACTCGCACTAGCGGTCCTACCTCAGCCGCTACCGTCCACCCCTGATCCGGCGAGTCGGTCTGTTCCATTATCACCCTGAGCTGACAGCGTCGCCTGCTTGGGGAGAGCGCTTCCAATTTTAATGCCGCCATTATCATTTTAATGAATCTGATTCGCTGTGGCTGAGCAGTTTCCGTATCGGCAGGTCCCGCGGGGAGGTAATCCAGTCCACTCGGCCCTTTTTTATCGCCGCTAGACAGGAGTGTTACGAGAAACTCCATCTCCATCTCGGGCCGAGCGGTCATCTGGCGATTTTCTAGCGTCGTTGCGAGTTAAGACGAAAAAAAATCGCTGGTATCGCCGCTCTCATTTGTCCTACTACCGTACAAAAGCCGCGATGACACCCCACCCACGCGGATCAGGTCTGCTTTGCCACAAAATAATGATCGGGCTTAATGGCCACCTGGCTCAGCCGGCAGAATCAATAGCTGTAGTTGCAACCAC